ATATTAGATCAGACTGGACTCGTATAAGAAAGTGGTTGTTTGGATATGATTTGTGTGGTCCGAGAAAGTTTTACCAAGACTCAACGGTAGATGCCAATGTTCTTGTGTAGGAACAATAAATGGTTAACTTCCCTATAGGAATAGGGAGAGCCGTGATAATAGATTTTTGTAGTGATTTTGTCGAATTTGGATACTCCATAATGATAGGTATTGACCCAAGAGATGGTGTGTTACTTATCTATCATGTGGGAGCCCCTCTTTTTACTATTATTCAGACGAACTAGTGTTCTGCCTCCTCTTCTGGAATAGCCTCCACTTCCCTTTTATAGCCAACCTCATGGATGCTCAAGGGTCGTGGTATTAATCACATAGTTTAATAACTATTAAGAACTTGTAACCGCTCCACTTATTAGCCGAATCTTTGTAATACTTCTCTTACATGGTTGATCTCTATCTCTCAATATCTTACAAATATAATATTTACAAAAATATTGTCAGTCAATCAGTTGAACTAAACCGATTAATTTGATCCAGTTCTATTTTTAAAAAAAATATATTAAAAACTGAGTCAAATGATATAACTAATTCATACCTTCTTTTTTTACTAAAAATCAATCTAAACTGAACTGATCCGTAATTAATAGACATGTCTTTTATTATCCATGAATTTATAATCTATAAGTTTAAAAGTATGCCATGCCAACAAATAGATACTAACTCTCAATGTCTTGATACTTTGAATTTGAAAAGTGATAATTACCTTTTTTTTTTATACTCAAAACGGAAGAAATTTCTAAAGAATCAAACCTGAAGTTGGTATAAAGTGTACTTTTATACTTGTCATAACAATATTTCATTTTTAATATTTTTAATATTAAAATAGTTACTATTCTAAAATATTATTTAAAATATCAATGAAATACTACTAATTATTATTTTTACAAATATATTTGCATTTATTAAATTTTAATTTACTAAATTTAATTTAACAAATTACTTTCTTACAAATCACCATAATTTAAATAAAACATTTTTATAAGACGAGAGAGTATTAATTATAAAAGCTTTTACTTGTATGCCAAAACTTTAAGCTTTTAAAGATGTGACAAGTGACTATATTGCTTGTATGACATACCTAAATAGTGGAGGACTTTAAAGCTTGAGTGGGTGTATGTAGTTTATCTGGAAAGTAAGGAATAAAACCATTTTCAAAGGTGAATTTATGAAGACTTCAAAGTGGTGGAGGAAGTTAAATGGTTAAGTTGGAGTTGCTTAAAAGATAAGATAAAAAGATTTAAATATGACTTCATGTCAAATGCTCAACTATTAAATTGTTTGGTGCTCATATCTATTAAGCATCTGATCTGGTTAAGTCGGTTCATATATATTTGACTTTGAAATTTTAATTTGTGGATTTGTTTGTTCAATGTATTGTGTTTTGAGTCTATTAATTTTGACAATTATAATTATGCATTTATATTATTCTTGTATTCACAATCTTAAAAACTTCAGAGTTGAAGATGGAAAAAAATGTTAGCAATTTTATTGGAAAACATAGAGAGACAGGTGTAGAATTTCCTTAGGTTTATTGAAATTTAGAAAATCCTTCAAGGTATCTAAAAGAATTAGGAAACAATTCTAAACACTCTGATCTTGTGTGATTTAGAAATTTAGAAATACTTTAGTAGAAATTAAGGTTTGTTCTTGGAAAATTAAAGTTTGATCGAATCAAATAAATAATTTTATGTGCTCTTCTCTTTCATCTTCTTTTGGCTTGTTGTGTATTTGCCTTCACCATTAACATGTTAGTGTTTTTCTTGAGACAATAGATTTTGGTCATCATTGTTCATTGTCTCACACAAAATTTTTTTGTGTTTGAATCTATCAGCAAATTCATTAGAATTGTTAAAGTTTTCTTAACAAATGGTGCCTACCGCATGGCAAGGGATTTTGCTTACTAGAGAACACCATGAGCTCTTCTAAATGGCATATCGAAATTTTTTGTGTTAACAACAATTTTGGAATATGAAAAATGAAGATGGAAGCAATATTAACTCAAGAGAAGTGTATTAAAGCATTGAAGAGTGTGATATTGATGTATTCACATAAAATACACTAGTAGAGAAGACCGCGATGGTGGATAATGTTATGACTACAATTAACTTATGCTTCGGGAATGAAGTAATATGGTAAATCTCTAGGAAGAAGACAATGACTTCGACGTGGATAAAACTTGAACAATTGTTTATGATTAAGTCCCTATATCATAAATTGTGTCTGAAATAACAACTTTACTCATTCTAAATGATAGAGAGAAAAATCCATATTAAATAATTGACAAAATTTTACAATATTAATGATTTAGACAATATTGAAGTAAAGATTGGTGATGAAGGAAAACTATACTCTTATTGAACTCATTAGTAGATCCTTTGAACACTTCAAAAATGTTTTTCTTTATAATAAAGAAGGTCCAAATACTTTGAACGAAGTCCAAATAATTGTGAGATTTAAACAATTTTTAATGGTGAAAGATTTGACGATCTTATACCTAAATAAGCCTACAATTTTCTTATACTTGATTGCATATACCTTCTCTTCATCACTATATTCATTAAACTTTGCATTTGTTTCATATGGATTTATGATCTGTTACAGTCATTCATTTCAAACATATTTAATAATCCCCTCACATTCTTTTGTTCATGCATTATCATGCCTACCCTGACTTTCAAAAAACTTATGCCATGAAAATATGAGAGCTTATCAAAATTATTCATCTCAAACTCAACCTTCATTTTCTTCCTTTGGATTCACAATTGAATGACTTTTAGTGATGAGCGAGTGATACACCTCCAAAAATATCATCATAATATTTGAATTTGTGAAACTTTACATGTTGACACCACACTCAATTGTGTGTTTTTGAATCCTAGCTTTCATTCATGTTCCAAACTCTGAAACTCTGGAATTGCTTTCATTCATACAAAGCTTTGTGCAACTTGTACAACATGCACTCTTTTCCTTTCACTTCAAATCCTGGTGGCTGAGTGACCTAAACTATTTCTTCTATGCATCATTTAAGAAATCAAACTTAACATCTAAATGATGTAGGGCCAATTCTCGCTACTAACAATTGCTACAACTAGTTTCATTGTCTCAAGTCTTTCCACAAGAGCAAACACCTCGTTACAGTCAATATTATATCTCTAAAAGAGGCATGTAGCTGCTTATCTTGCTTTATGTTTTGTAAATGTACCACATGGATTCATTTTGACCTTAAATACCCACTTCACATCAATGAGTTTCTTCCTTTCAAGTGTGATTCTTCATAATTGACTTGAGTTATTCAATCACGACCTCTCTCCAGACTTTAATATTCATTACCTCATCTTAGTTGATTGTCTTAACACCAGCTGACAGAGTAAAATGAATAAGCTCACCTTCATTACTGAGTGCACTATCAGGTAATAGTTCACAATATGCAAGTTTATTAGAAATCTGACTTGTTTTCTATGGCCTCGCATATGTTTGAGCTTCTATTCGTCAATTATTGGTTAATGAAGTGATTTCATCACCATTTTCTTCAATTTGATCAGGTTCAAGAAAACCATGCCCGAGGTTACATTTGTTTTCTAATGTATCAGCCAATTCCATGCTTCTGAATAATTGACAATCACGTCTTTGCTGATGTGCACCTTTTGAGTCACATGATTGTACAAATTATAGACTCTTTTGTATGATATTCTATAAACACCGTGATTTCAATTTTTCTATCCACATTTGTTTTCTAATGTATCAGCCAATTCCATGCTTCTGAATAATTGACAATCACGTCTTTGCTGATGTGCACCTTTTGAGTCACATGATTGTACAAATTATAGACTCTTTTGTATGATATTCTATAAACACCGTGATTTCAATTTTTCTATCCAACTTACTTCTTCTTTGATCAGGTATAGTAATTCAATCACTTTCAGATACTTCACACTTTTCTTCTACTCCAAGCTTTCCTAGGCACTGTTCAGCTTCTTGGTGAAGCACTTATTTAGGATATATGTAGATCTCTTGACTACTTCTCCCCATAACTTATGAGGCAATGCTCATATGTTTTAGCATGCTTATGAGTGTATCAAGTATGGTTTTGTTTTTTGTTTCTGCTGAACAATTCTGTTGAGGAGTGTATGGTGAAATAACTTCACGATTTAAGTCTTCACTGGTGTAAAATGACTCAATTTTGAGGTGTAGTCTCCACCACCATATGCCGTCATAACCTTTACTCTCAATTGAGGTCTTGAATTTCTAGAACACTTCAAAAGCCGCACACTCATATAATCAATAAAAACTAGGTAACTTTACATCTAATACTTTCAATAAAACATTTTAGTCAAACAAATTGCCTTAGTAGTAAACTAAGAATCTTTTTTCTTCAAAATTTATACACAAATAATATTATAAGACCGTGGAATATGATATTAGAATAGAGCAAGGTAAATGCAATGCATCAAAAACAAATAATTGACTAATTAGTTTGTTGTGGTTTAAGAAGAAAAAGGATAAGATTACTTTCAGACTCTTTTCCATAATCCATGCATGGTATTTATTGGCACACGCATTTCACTCGGAGAATAGAACACTACCCATGACTGAAATGAAATATATATTCTTATAAACAAATAGTAATAATTAGCCAAGAAGAAAATTGATGTGAAGTTATATTTTTGGTAAGAAAACATACATTCGTTTGATCCATATTGAAATAGTTGCAGTGGGAAAAAGCTAGGGTTTATAATGATTTCGCAAAAGAACCTATCAACATATTTTTGTTGCTTGCATTCTCATGTGCAAAAGAATTTATTCTCTCTACCTTTTGGATCCGTACTTGTAAGGCCTATATTGTCCATTACATTATAAATAACCATCACTGCGCCCTGTGAATTGGCACACACACAATAGTATTAATATTTCATATCAACTAGCAGCTAGCTACATATTGATTCATGGGCAGAGCAAACACGTTGATGCATCTCCGGTAACTACTATCCTTAACTTAATAAGAGTACTATAATAATTAAGTCATTTTTTGAATTAATTAATGATGAAATTAATCAATAATAAGTGTGAGTGAATGAATGAAACTTACTGTAGTATTGGGTGCTGCAGGAGATCTGCTAGGGGGGTGGAGAGTACTACCGGGCTCTGCAAATTGATCCTAGGAAGAGAAGCTGGGTCGCAGCCCTGGGTTGATCAAAAGACTAAGAGTGGCAGTATTGGGAAGAAGGCAGTGGTGGATTCATCGTCGTCATATTCTTGCTGCTGGGTTCCGCACCCGAGGACTGGAATTTATTTCCCTGTAGGCCATGACTGGGTAATGGAAGATGTTCCTGAAGGCGCTGCCACGTTCTCTGAGACCTGTTACTTCAGAAATTAAAAATCATGTTCTTTAATCCATGCTACTGCTAAACTAGCTAACTATTGTGGAGGAGTGGATTGACAACAATCACAATTCCGTGCTCCTTATTGCTATATATATGCATCCACTCAGATTATACTAATGTAATATTATACCTCCATCTCGCCAGAAAATAAATACACCACTATTACTATGTTACAGATTGTAGTGCTTTCAGCCCCACCATCTACCACCAACATATAATAACAATAATAATATATCTATAACTAATTGGTTCCAATTTCTTTCATTAAAAAGAATAAAATGGTTCCAAAATGAAATTAAAGTGTTAAATCATAACAAATTCTCACAATAAAGTGTCACTAAATTTCTGCACCAAGAGAGTGTGCTTTGTTTTTTTAAAGGATAAGAAAAATGTACTTTGCTAACAAAAAGGTAAGTGATACTAGAAGGCTAAGTATGTTTGGTTCTGCGGTGAGGAAAATCGGATCTGAGTGAATTGATTTTGTAGAATTGATTCTGGTTAAAAATGAGTTGGATGTAAAGTAATTTATGTTTGAATATATTTATGTAAAAGTGAATTGAACAACATATTTTAGTATAAAAATCACATTTAAACTCAAAAGTTACAAATTGTAGCTTCAAGTAGAATCAATTCTGAAGGTTGAATCAATTCTACTTTAGAAAAACCATACACCTCAAAATCATTCAATAATCAATTCTACACCTCTAGAATTTCTTTTGCCTCTTCCAGAGGCTAAACCTAACATACACTAAAGCCAAGTGAGGTATCAAACTGAACATATTAGATCAAAGAGGAGATCTAATTTTGTAATTTTTGTTGGGTGTTGAAATAAATGGTACTCCCTCCGTCTTATAAAATGTGTCTCATTTGTACTTTTTCTGTCTCAAAATAATTGTTCGTTTACAATTTCAGTGCATCATTTATTATTATTTTTCCACTACTATACCCCTATTTACTAACTTTCATTTTATTCAACTACTCTATTAACTATAACTAATAAGAGCATTTAGCAAATGGTATTAATTTTTTCATTAAAACCAACACATCTAATCATTTTCTAAGAACTGCGCATTGCCCAAATAAGACACTTTTTATGAGACGGAGGGAGTAATAATTCATGGGAGGGGCCTTAAATGTTTAATTTTTGTGAAGTTTTAAAATGGTGTGAGGCCGTAAAACTAGTGGAGACAAATTAGTTGAGGAAACCAATATATACAATTTTTGTTTGGTGTAAAACTAGAGGGAATTCCATAAAATTAGTGTGTTGACTAACATATTTGTTTATTGGAGTAGGATTGAAGTCTAAAGCAATGGCTTTAGTGGAATGTAATCAATAGATTCAGTGGAAAATACTAGAATTAGAAGTAAAAACTCCCTTTCTATCCTGTTGAGAAGTTCAACATTAGTGATGAGTTCAATTCTACTCAAACCTCATCCATTTTAAATTTTGGAATTGCGTTGGAAGCACATTCAGTTAATGAGCACACTAAAACTAGAAGATTTCAGCCATTTTCAAAGATATAGATTACTATTACTTACAGGCATAAGTCCACAGTTTTATCTGCAGATCAACTACAAAAACATAACATATCATTTTCTAATGATTGCACAACAAACATTAATCAAACAAAAGAAAAACAAAATTTCAGTTAAAGATAGTGCCCTGCTTCTTCTATTACCTCCACTATTTTTTTTTTTCATGTTGATAAAGTAGGAATTTGATTTTTGCAGAAAACCAAAAATATGCAGTCACTCCAAGATCTTTGATGCATCTGCACAACATGCCATCTATATCTACAAAATATGCACAAAACAGAATGTTAACGACAATTGAAGATAAACAAAAGAAAATTTTAAAATCAAACAGGACACTGCACACCAGGACAGTTGGAGAAAGAGAAGTGCTTAAGAAAAGAAGATATAAAGTGTTCGCATTGTACCATTCCAAACATTGATGCATTGAGACATTCAAAGAGACTTTTCATGTGTCTAGCACCAGATATCACCTTGTTTTTTTGAGAGTGCAAATCAAAGGCACCAATAAATATTAAAGATAGACCTGAGAAACATAACAGCTAAACTGCCAAAACAATTATCTGTGACAACTGTTTCAAAGCATATGCTAAGTAAATTACAAAGTTGTCACCATCTTGGATTCTTGGGGTATTGATCCACATAGAAGAGGCGGCGGCAGATATCAGCATCCTGTGAAGCCTAGTTGTTGAGAAAACTCAAGTATATTCTGTACTCAATGATAAATCTTCAATTTCATGTTCTTATGAAAAGAAGTGTCCAACTTATCACAGATGATTTTGCAACTATAGAAAAAGACAGTAGCTATGAAAAAAATTCTTCTTTAGCAAGGCATGCACAACAAATGCGAGTTTATTCAACACAAACGCAAGTTTTGCCTCATTAATACTACTTTTGCCTCTTTTATGCCAAATCGCTTAAATCAAACTAGACGAATAAAACTCGCATAGTTTTCTTATTAGTAATAGATAAGATAGATGAATCAGTTAATTAAACAAGAATGATGGTTGGTTTCACATAGTTCCATTAATTGTGAATTTCCAAGAGTTACAAGAGACAAAAACATGAAATTAGTTACTACAAGACAGAGCTTGACAACATAAAACTACGAAGTAGTAACCACAAAACAGTGCTTGATATAAGATGCAATCTTTGAGTTTTAAATGACAAACATAAAATTCAGTCAAACATCAATTAAACCTGCAAGAATAATCTACAATAAAGATTCTAATACAAAAGCCTAATAACTCATATAAAGTGTTACCATTACACTACATGACAATTCAAATCATAACAACAGCCTTTGTTGCACGCGTTTTTTTCTAGATAGCATTGCTATATTACCTACATGGTATTGATATTCAGTACCAACCCCTCCCCCCTTCTCTTTCTGTTTTTCTATTATCCATCTTTATTTATGTACAACCAGACCAGCAAGCATCGACGAGCAGACACACTGTTACCTTTTTTCTCCAAATAAGCTGCAGTAAAGGGAGTAGTGACACCCTGCTCTTCACTACTACATTGGATGAACCACCAAACTCCATACCCAAATATTATATATATATATATAACATAATATTCCAAATTCTGGTAAAAACTGAAGTAAGTCATTCACCAGCTCATGGCAGTTCCCTTGCCATTCTCTCTAGTAACCTACTTTTCTCCTCCTTGGAAACATGTGGGTCAATATTACCAAGGTTTTTCACAAAACTGTTTGCCTCTTCTTTTCGATTGTGCTTGCAATACCAATCAACAATGGAGTTATAAGTATTCTGGTCTGGCCTACATCCCTGCTTGATCATGTATCGAATAACATCAATAGCCTCAACAAACATTGAGTCAGCGGCATAAGTGGCAACGAATGTGTTGTAAGTTACAACATTTGGAACAAGTGCAGAATCTTTCATTTCGGAAAATATCCTCAAAGCCTCCTTCATCCTACCATTTCTGCAATATGCATAGATAACAGTATTATATGAAATCTTATCTGGTTTCATACCTTTCTTCAGAACTCCCCTTAAGATTTCTTCTGATTTTTGGAACTTTTCAGAACGGCTATACATATACATCAAGCTATTATATGTAGTCAAACTTGGAGTAAAACCATTCTCATATATGAAGTCCAAAATCTCATTGGCCTTGGACACCACCTGCTTCTTCCCATATATTGAAATCATTGCATTCAGAGTAGTAAGTCCAGATGTAATTCCTCTTTTCCTTAATTCAAAAAAAGCACGTTCTGTTTCCATGAGGAGTTCACTCTTGCTACTTACAAGAACAAGTGTCTTCAACAGAACAGGATGTGGTTCAATAGAGCCAGAGTAAATCTCCTCACCAAGTGCTTTCATCTTTTCAATCTCCTTACCATTGGCATAGGCATGAAGCAGAGAAGAGTACGTCAGCTCATTAGGATTACACCGACCATCCTTCATTTCAGCAATAATTTTCTCTGATTGTTCCCAAAACCCACCTCGAGCCAAGGCGGCTAGAACAGCATTATAGGTAGAGAGATCAGGAGACACTCCAGCTTCCAGCATGCTTTTATAAACAGTCATTGCTTGATCGAATGAACCACATCTACTGTACGCACTAATTAAAGTGTTGAAGGTGTCCCTCTCAGGCACAAACCCCGACCTCTTCATTTCTTTAAACACTCCTGCTACTTCGGAGTCCATTTGATTCTGTCCAAACACAGCCAAAAGTGTGTTCCAAGTAACAATATCAGGAGAACACCCACATTCCTTGATATCCTCAAAAACCTTCATCATTTCCAGAAACTTTCCACGATTACCATGCATCTTGATAAGAGCATTAAAGGTGCAAATATTAGGTTTGCATCCCGCCGCTTTCATTTCTTCATAAACTTGAAAAGCAAACTCATCTTTCCCAGCCTTCTCAAACCCTGAGAAAAGTGTTGTGTAGGTAAAAACATCCGGCTTAATCCCTTTCTCCACCATTTGAATTTTAAGCCGCAATGCTTCCTCCAACAAACCACCTCTAACATAAGCAGATATCAACGAATTATAAGTAATAATGGATGCAGAGAAGCCATTACTTTCCATATCTTTAAGCACCTGCAAAGCCTCCTCGGGGCGTCTAGACTTTGCAAATACATCTACCAACGCATTATATGTAACCCTATCAGGAAAAAAACCCGCCATCTTAATCTGATCAAACACTTTAACAGCTTCATCATATAGAGAACTGCGGCGACAACAAGTGATAAGGGTATTGTAAGTATACAAATCAGGAGCAACTCCATTCACTTTCATAGAATCAACAAGCGCATTAACACGAGACCAAGGCATACCCATTTTTCCATAAACATTCAACATGGAATTATATGTAATGAGATTAGGGGTGCAACCATCTCGTTGCATCTTATTGAAGACAGAGACAGCATCATTGTACCTACCCTTACTAGCATAAGCAGTTATCAGACAAGTATAAGCATAAACATCAATCTCAAACCCATCCTTCTCAAGAGTTCGAAGCAAAGACGCGGCAGATGAAACCCGACCTGCTTTGCCGAGGATGTTAACAATAACAGCAATTGCAGAACCGGTTAGAAGATTAGCACAACCTTGCTGGTTGCGAACCCAATCAAAAACAGCTAAAGCGAGTTCGGATTTTTTCCGAAACCCTAAAGCTTTGATTATTGCGAGAATATCACGAGATAAATGAGTGGGATGTGGATGTGGTTGGGTGAAAAGGGGGGCTAAGATATTGTCGAGTTGAATGGAATCAGCGGGAGAGTGGAGTAAGGTGTTGAGAACATGCTGACCTGAAGAAGAAAGGTTGTGGTTGGACCATGGCTTGCCGGAGTTGGGGTGGGAGGAGGACTTACCGATGGACATGCGGGTACGGGAGTGTGAGGTGGAACTGAAGTCATTGATGACAAGAGTGGTTATTGAGGAGGGTTTGGGAGTGGAGGCGGAGGGTGGTGAGTTTCGGACTAGTAATGGAAGAGATAGGTTTCCTACCATTTCCATGCTCTGCTTCTTCTTGTGCGGGAACAAAACAACTGTTTAATTTTTTTTATTATTATTATAACGATAACTTTCAACCAGAAAAGAAATAATATCTCATCCCTTTATATATAAAAATTTAGATCCAAATATTTTTAGAAAATTTTAAAATTTCTGTGATCAACCCTTCAAATGACGATATCGAAAATTTCAAGGCCACATCGAAAATTTAATGAGACAGTAAAAAAATTTTAATAGATTTACAAAATATTTAATATTTTGTATTAAAATTTTCAAAAAATTTCGATATTTTCGTATTGGAATTTTTGAAATTTTCAGTGTAAATATTTTTCTTTTGTATTGAAAATTTAAAAATTTTTGATAATTCAATTTTGAAATTTGAAAGTTTAAATTGTCACATAAATTTGAAATTTTCAATGTATTTGAAATTTCAAATGTACTATCAGAAATTTACTCTTATTAGAAATTTAGTAGGGATGTGCCAAAAAATTTATATGTATTTGAAATTTCAATTCTTCTATCAAAAATTTCGTTCAAAAATTTCTTTATATTTCACTAGAGATAAAATTGAAATTAAAAAATGACATTTAATTTTGAAGTAACATATTAATTTATCTTATTTATCCATCCTCTAATTTCAAGCATTTTCCATTACACCCCATAAATTGCTCCCTCGCAAAATTTCTTAAATATTCTTAAATTTTGAAATTAAAATTTGTACGCATCATCCTAATCGTGTCAAATATAAGTAATAAATATTTGAATATTTTTGGATTCTATTTACTAGCACGTACACATAACATATAAGACACAAGCAATTTTGTTTCAAGAGTGTTTTAAGATATTGAAATTCAGATTTACCACTATTATCAAATATATATATATATATATATATAACATAACAAACAAGTAATATAGTGCGCGTGTGTGGTCTAGTGGTGAAATTTAAATTCAAATTTGTTAACACAAACGTATAACACACCAACAATATTAGACATAGAATAGAAAATAATACAACTTAACATAGATCTTTATTACCACATATACAAAATACATAGCATAACATAGATGTTTATTAACCTAAATCTAACATGAGATTTCATCACTAATATATGAAATCCAGAATCAACCCCTTTTTATCATGTACAAAGAATACGCATGGGTTTCTTTGGATATTAAAATTCGGATTCTTCTCCATTAGCATCATCACATATACACAAAATATAGGGTTTGTTTGGAGATTCGAATATGGATTCACACTGACAATCTTTATTTTATGACATACAAACACACTAGAAAGTTAATTTCAATATATATACAAGTAATGATAGATATACATTAAAACACGTCAAAATATATTTGTTACATCCATAAAAATAATTCACTAACATTACATCTAAAAAATGTGTCACCATTTAAATACATTGTAAAATAAACACTAAAATGCATAAAAATGTGTCACCACCTAAATATGAGTGGTTCCACCTTTGATTTTTTCTTATTTGAATATTTTTCAATATCGCTCAATTTAAAAAATTCTTCCACCATGTCCAAAATACTATCTAGCAGAGTTTCAACTTCTTTTATGGAATGAGATGTCCACTCATGGGATGTTTGCGGTATAGAATATCCTGGTTTTAAATAAATTTAAATAAAATATTGTGATTTTGAAAGTCATCCAATACACATAATTCGTCTGACTAGATTTTAAGGTGGACCACTTCGAAGTGGGAAAAATATTTTTGAAAAACCATATCTTGTTTGATCAATACACACCCGGTTATATGTATTTGCTATAAGATGACTCATTTCAGAAAAGCACATTCGCTTTTCAAATGGTATTATACCGTTAAGATAATGAATAAGAACATTGTGAATTTCATTGTATTATTCTTTTTTCTGTATAGCCTAGTGTATGATTCCTTGTAGGCCTTCAACTCTTTGATAAGAAATTGAAAGACAGGTGTATGTGTTGTATCCCAAAATTTGCCCTCTCATTTCTCAAATGATCATCCTGGACCCTCAGTCTTTGCTTCCATCCAATTTCAAGCTTTGAATTACAATTTTCCAAGAAAACCATTCACAAGGGGAAAATGGTCAAAAGCACACTGAAAAAGTCAAACTTTGACTTTTAGATCAAAAATCAAGTTTCAACAATTATGTTTCATTAAGACATGAAATTGGTTCATCAAAAATCCGAAGTCAGAAATTACTTTGAAAAAATCAAATTTCTAAACATTTAGAAAATTTTCTAAGTGTTAAGAGAATATGATACTTCAGAACTTCTGGACCAGACCCCCACGCAAGCACAATTAGAATTTGCAAGCACGGCTCAGAGCATGATACTTCAATCAGAATATGTAGAAGCGGTGCTCTTTGGTCAGAACATGATTCTTCAACATATGAAGGCTATTTTCAACGCTTCGGTCAGAACATCACCCTTCAAGTCTCATTCTGGTCTTCTGCGATCAGAACATCACCAAATCCCAAAACCTCATTTAAACAACATGCTGCACTGCTACAGCACAATACTCTAACCAGCAGCTAATCCAGTCCACACCTGCATTTTTCCAAATCCTGTATTTACACCAAATACAAAAAGCTGTGATCAAAAAGCAATGGAACAGTGTGCCAAAAAAGTTTAAATCCCATTTGTTTTTCCCCCCAAAACCACAGCAAATTCACCTATAAATAAGTTGCTCCCTCACACTTTCAAGGAGCTGGCTTTTGGAGAGAGAGAATTGTCAAAAGAGAGAAAAGAAAACTGTGAAACCTTCATAAAAACCATAATTTCCAAACAGAAAACAAAAACCTTTATTCTTCCATTTGAGTCAAAGAACTTGGCATTTTCTCTTCCGTTACTTTTGCTGACTCCAGAACATTTGAGGGAAGCAGTTCAAGGTCCAAGCACGCGCTCTAGATTCAAGGTAAGTCTTTCTGACTTTACATCTTTCATTTAGAACATCATTAAACATGTAAATATCATCATATTAATGTTGTCCATATCGCTGCATGAGTGAAAAATTTTTGGATTGGAACTTCTTGATTAAGGCTAGGCTCAGGATTAGGATTAGAACTTCTATAAACTGTTGTGTTTTTAAACTTCTGATTTGCTGTTTGTTAAAAAACTGAATAAATTACTGATGTGCTGATTAATATGAGAAAAGATTTGAAACGTAACATAGAACTTCTGATTTTCACATGCTGATAACATACAGAACTTCTATGATCCGCTCACTGTTTTAATACTTAGAACTTCTGATTTTCACACGCTAATAACACGCTGAATTGTTGATTATTCATTCACTGTCTTAGCACAATACAGAACTTCTGAGTTCTTCCTATTGTTTTAACATGCACAGAGCTTCTAAGGTTTTCTCACTGCTCTCACATTCAGAACTTTAGCACGTAACAACCCAGAACTTCTGTGTTTTCCCTCTAACGTTTCTTGCAGGACTTTGGAACGTATCAATCCAGAACTTCTGATGTCCACTGGCATTTCTTTCTGAGTCACACCACTCCTGGCATCAGAGCTTCTGATCCCTTTTGTTTTACTTGCAGCAGCACGTTGATTTTATATCTCATTATTTTCCCCTTTTTATCATTTTCAATGTTAATACCCTTTTTATTAATATAAAAAATACTTAAAAATATTTTCTTTTTACTAATTAATTTATTTCCTTTTTAATTCATTAAGACAAAAAAAAAACCATTTTCTAAACAAATCTTTTTTCTTTCTTGCATTGTACATTTCGATATGGTTGTAATAGTTAATTAGGATTTAAATTCTTGCAACCCCCTATTTGTAAATTTGTACATCCAATCCCCTCTAATGATTGTAATAGCGTAGAATCTTTACATTCCGCATTTTTATTGTTTTCATATGTTGTTAGTAACTAGGGTGTGTATGGCAACACATGAAATCGACAAATAGATAACCCTAATCAAGACTAAACGCATGCAATCAAACACACTTTGCAGATATGCACCCTTAGGGTAATCTCACATGTGGCCTATCTAAAAATAGTCATGTCCCTCGAACATGGGCATTTTAGCAAAAGACCCTCGATAAAAGATCGTAGTCCCTCGATAACCCTCGATGTTGCCTCCGGTAAACGATCTAGTCCCTAAAACGACATTGCTAAAATGTTCCATAGGTTGCCTTCTATGACTATACAAACGTCCCACACTCGTCCCTTCACAACCAACGATGGGGCTTCTTACCAAATCAATGGTAAGATAGCAACATCTAAAGTAGGAGGAAAAGAACATCTAAGACCCTTTGAGTAAGTAGATTTGCTCTTAGTTGCTCGCTTGCTCACAACAAAAACATTTTATACACCAACACTCTCATTTTGAAACATTTTCGAAGACAATACTTTGTACGCGTTCTTATAGAGACGATAATCGTTACAAAGACACCTTTTCAAAGTCACTTTCAAAAACACATTTCACAAACACATCTTTGAACTATTTTCCAAACAAACACTTTGTACGCGTTCTTATAGAGACGAGAACCGTTACAAAGACGTTTTCAAAATACTTTCAAAACCCACACCACAAGCACATTTTCAAACAAAAACAAGTTGATCTAGCGAGTAACTAAGATCCCATGGAAAACCATGGATGAAAAGGGTGATAACACCTTCCCTTTTCATAATCTACCCCCCCGAACTCAAGAAAACATCTCTAAAGGTCTTTCCTGTGCTTTTTCACCTTTCCTTTTAGATAAAAGAAAAGTCGATGGCAACTCTTGCTAAACCGCAACATTTGCGAATAAAAACACAAACCTTCAAGTCAGTTATCTCACCGTGTCACAGAACTGGCGACTCTGTTGGGGACTTTTTTCTAAAAGTGGGGTTACCTTAGGGTTAGATCACCTTTACTTGTTTTCTTTGCATGCTTTATATTATGTTCATTGTATTGGGCTTGCTTTGATCCTCCACCCGGATCTGGGACACCTTTTTAGGTAAGTAGCAATAGATTGTGGAAACTGTACGGCG